AACAACAAGACACTTTGAAGTTAGTTCCAGTTCGATTTCGATATGAGCTCGGAGAACTTCCAAATATGAAACTCATATCAAAGTCAGACTCGTTAGGCATTTCAGATTCAAACTAAGAACGAATCCAAATCATATAGAAACACATTCCCCGATCAAACCCGTAAAAAGCCACTGCCGGTCGATAAACTCAGGGTTTGAGGACGTAAGCGACAGCAGATGTCAGAGTTGAGCACAGAGTGGCTGGTTGTGCACTGTTTTCAGGTTGTTTGTGTAAACGCCCATCCAGTTCGTACCACATCAACCGAAGATATTCGATGCTGAAGCCACTGCTAGATGCACCGGCTTGAGCCTGCGCTGTGTGTGGACCTGTTTGGACATGTTTCAGCTCGGATGATGTTGGGCCGGTTTGGTCATCGTTGTGTTGCCTTGTTGCTTCCTGGAGTTGTGGGTGCGCACTTGTCCCCTGAACTCTTTCTGAGGCCAGGGCATGTCCGAGAAGCTTGCTCAGGATTTATCTCATGAGATGGCGCTGACTTCTGTGCAAAAGGAATGACATCGGCAAATTCGTGCACAAGTGTAAGGTGATAGGAGGTGTAAAGTCGTAGGACCTGATAAATCAGCGCTGCAGTTGAGCTAATGCGGCAACCGAGCGCTGTCCACGACGAAAGTGTCACACTACGTGACAACTGATCAATGCCCGGCTGGTGAAAGTGTGTCCATGACAACTAACTTGCCGCATGACAGGAGGAACTTCTTTGATCTTCTTTGCATGGGGCCGACCGACTCAAACCGCGAAGACTGTCATCCTCCGGGTTTGCGTTTCGAGACAGCACGAGTCCCAGTTGTTCCAGCAGGCAACACAGTCGATGCCGCCAAGCCCGGATGCATGCAGATGCAAAGCACCTAGCATGCATTTCTTTCGGCTACTGTACCCCTTGTTTCGTCGTTGTCCTTGCCTCGGAGAGGCACAGGACACATCTGCATGTGCAAGAGAACTTGCAGGTGTAATCTAGCGCCGAGAGCGCCCACTGGCCCTCTCAACATATCTCAGTTATAGATTAATGATTGACGCGCCGTTGGTTGGTTGACACTGCTTACCGGGGCCAAGGCCCATGCCAGTGTGCTGTTTGCCCAGGGTCCGATTTTCAGCAGGAGTTGCTTATTGATGTTTGCCGTTCGCAAATAGGGGTCTCAGGGGTGCTGCACTTGACTCCTGATCAAATTCATCGGCCCTAGCAGCAAGCTGCGTGGTGCTACAACTCAGTGCAGCTGAATTCGCTGGAAAAGAGCCGCACATCGAGCGCGACTTGTTGCTTCATTGCTTGATTTTCTGCAGCCGTGAGTGCCGCGAGGCATGACCGCGCGCGATTGGGCGAACGGCTTTCGGTACGTAGTTCCAGCAGCACGGACACTCCGTTTTTGGTCAGACCAAGGCCCAACGCTTTTTCCGACAGCATATAAAATCATCCACTGTCACCACGGAAGATCTCGGAGTGCTTGTGGGGGAGGGCACAGAAGAACAAAGGTGATTCGATCGTGGCAGCAGGCTTCGGCTTCCGGGATCAGCTATGGCAAAGCGCATGCAGGTACACTATTCAATGCGATTTAGTGCATCCCTCTGCCAGCTGGTAGTTTTGCCTCGCCCGTCCTCGTTCAAAGGAGCCGACGGTAGGTCAGGCGCAAACAACCGAGAGTCGGGATAAGGACATTCCAGCAGGTAGGAACTTTTTCTCGAGTGCCGCATTTTAGACCTTTCGAACGTTCGCAACGCATCCCGACGTCCTGCCATGCCGTGGCCGCGGAAGTCCAGTGAGAGCCTGAAGGCAGCTGCCAGCAGCCTGGCAGCTATTCGCCAAGAGCTCTTCGTCAGCCACCAGCAGCTTGTTCAGAAGTTGGATGCAGAGTTGGTGCGCATCCAAAACTTGTGCTCGACTTCTGCGGACTCGTTGGGGCCAGCGGAATTCGCAGCTCTATCGGAATCCGGTCCCCGTGCGTCGAAAGAGGATGGACTCGCTCCTGTCTCCGCGGTCATGCAGCTCCCAGGAATGCCCGAGGAGAGCGATCTTCGGCAGGACCGTGAAGACAAGGACCACAAGGAACAGGCAGGCGATGTCAACGAGCCAGTAGAGCCAGTAGCTTCGGCCTCCCTTGCAACCTTCACGACAATCGCCGAACAACGGAAGAAGCACATGGCCTGGATTCGCAAAGTGGAGGATGGCAAAGTGCCGAGAGGATCTAAGATTGATGCGGACGATGAGGAAGAGAGCCGAGTTTTCTCTCGGCTTAACCCAGAATTTGCAGCACAAAAGGTCCGCAAAGATGCAATTTCCAAGTTTGGTTCAGACTTGCCAGGTGAGACCTCCCCGTATGCGAACTGTTGCACGCGAATCGTTCAGCATTCATGCTTTGAGCGGCTGTCCATGATGGTGATTGGCGTAAATGCCTTGTGGATTGCCATTGACATCGAGATCAACCAAGCAGAAACACTCCTACAAGCAGGTGTTGGGACGATCTTGGCCGAAGCAGCATTCCTTCTCTACTTCGCGACTGAGTTGTTCATTCGGTTTTGGGCACAGCAGCACGCCAGGAACCTGCTCAAAGACTACTGGTTTCTGTTTGATGCGGGCCTTGTGCTGCTCATGCTGCTAGAGACATGGCTCGTACCTGCAATCATTCTGATGGTCGGAGCTGGGGAAGCTGGTGGCCTCGGGCGTGCCGCAAGTGTTCTGCGGGTCGTCCGTTTGCTTCGTGTCCTTCGAACAGCACGGATTGCAAGGATTGCACGCTACATGCCAGAGCTCATGATCTTGATCAAAGGGCTCATCGTGGCCGCGCGATCTGTTTTCTTCACCTTGGTTTTGTTGCTGCTGATGACTTATGTGTTCAGCATTGCTCTCGTGTCGCTCAGTCAGGGCCCAGACTTACATCAAGTACAACTCCTGTTTCCGTCGGTGCCCAGGGCCGTGTTGAGGCTTCTGGTGCAGTGCACCATGCCAGATTCTGAAGCCTTTTTTCAGAGCCTGGAAGACGAAAGCATTCTCATGGCGGCATTGTTCTTGGTGTTCATCTTGGCCGGGTCCCTCATTGTCCTCAACATGTTGGTCGGCATTCTGGTCGAGGCTGTGCAAACTGTCGCGACCATGGAGCATGAGCAGATCCACGTGGACTTTGCACAACGAGCGCCTCGGTTTCGGCTTGCTGTAATGTCTAATGTCTGCGCACGGCACGCAATTCTGTTGAATAAGGTCCTCCACCATCTCATCCAACAAGGTAACGCCGATGAAGACGGTGACAACTTGATTTCTGAAGGCGAGTTCGAGAGGCAAGACACGCACACACACACACACACACACAAGTTGTCCATGTTACGTGGGAGCTGCCTTGCAGAGTCCTTTCGGGCTCCTACGAAAGCTGGTAACATGAGATGTTCTGAGTTCTGCACTCGGCTTCTGCACGGGGGTTGCTGCAAATGCAGGCTCCTAGAGAGGCCAGAGGCGTTCACGGCTCTGACTCGGCTGGGGGTCGATATCTTCGCAGCGCGTGAGTACGGAAAGCTGCTCGCTAAGCTCACGAGATCACTGGTGCTAGCACATGTCATGCGGGAGTTCTTTAGTTCTGGCTTTCCTGGACCTAGGCTGCTGTTCGAGGACGGTGTGCCTTTGACTTTCCCGGAGTTCATGGAATCCATTCTGACCCTTCGTGGTTCCTTGGGAAGCAGGCTTGTAGAAGTTGAGGCAGAGCTACATGCAGTGGGCTCGACTGCGTGGTTTCCGGTGTCGCAGCAAGCGGCCAGCGAGGCTCAAATCAGACCACCGTCAAGGATATCGTCAACTTGCGCAAGTTTGTGGCCCAAGAGTTCTCCAACTTGCACACCATTCTGATGGATTTCTTCCACTTGGTGGGCAGTCTCTCCGACGAAGTTGATCTGAGAGCTGCTTAGTGTTACAATGCAGCTTGTCCTGCTTGCTCCGCAGTTCAGGCTCACCCATGAAGACATCGAGGACATCGATGTCTGAGCTTCCAGGCCAAGCTCGGCAATGACGCACCCCATCCAGCATTTGCTGCGATAATACAGCAGCGCAATGGCAAGTCGTAAGAGTTTCCGACCTGCTCCATATGTACTCAGGCCTGGTGCAAGCTTTGTGAGAGTGGGCGCGCTTGGATGCTGTTCGACATACTGGCGCTTGTGGCATGCAGCTGTCGTTCATGCTGCTGAGCCATTGAAGTATCCCAAGAGTATTTATGGCACTTGTCCCTAGTTGCAGGACCGGGAGAGGACTTGTGTCAATGCAAATTGCGCCGTTGTGGCTCAACGCTGGCTCAGGGCTGTTTGCCCATCGTAGGTGCATGCCACCAAAAAGCAATGCTTACGCATCCGCATGTGCCGCTCACCACTTTCGATGGTTGAGTTCGTGCAGACGAGCTCAGGTTGAGATCTACAGTAGGTACTACAAACTACAAGGTAGAGTAGCCTTTAGACAGAAGAAATCGTGGTGGCACGGCTTGAAGTGTCGTATTTAAAGGCTCGATGGTGTCACCATAGGCCCAAGAATTCCGAGGCAATGGGGTATGAAGTGTGCTCTACTTGCCAGAAGGACACATTGATGTGTTCAACGGACGCACTGGCCCATCTCCAAGGATGCGCTCAGTCTCTGCATGTGTTGTTTCACCGGTGGTGCTCGAGCATCCCATTTTTTCAGTCTAAGGACTCCGACTCATAAATTCAGTGGTTGCTGAAAGAAGTCAATGGTGCGGGTGCCGCGAAGGGGTCTAGCCAAGTCAAGGTCACTAAGTTCTCAAATGTCGTTTGCATGGCTCCTGATTGCTGCAGCATGTCTGGCTAACAGAGAAGGGCTTGTGTGAATGTTGTGCACATGGCGCACGCAAGACCTTCGACAGAAACACGGCATCACTAGTCACTAGATCTTGTCGTAACACAGTCGCACAGCAATCAAACGTTGTTCTTTGGCTGATAGTTCAAGTTCACGGGCTGCCGGAACATGCCGCTGAGTCCCAAGTCACGTGAAACGAAGACGGTGTTGGATGCTTTGGGCAGCTTCAGAGCAGATCTAGCAGCAAGTCAGAAGCAGGTACTCCGCAAGTTGGACGACGAGCTGAACCGGATCAAGAATGCTCCATTTGCGAGTCCAGCTGCACCATTTATTCCCTCGGACCTCCTAGCCACTGACATTGAGGAACCCAGCTTGCCAATTCCGACAACTGTCCAGGCGGGCTCATCAAGCCCAGCTGCGGCTTGGGGAAGTGATGAAGCAGAGACCTGCCCTGGGAAAGCCCTTCCAGGTATGGTCGAGCTTGCGAGAGTTGACAGCTCTCCCATCCACACTTTTGCAAGTTTGCCCAACGTTGCCCAAGAGCGAAAGAAGAATATGTCCTGGATACACAAGCATGAGTCAAGAGCCTCAAGAAAAGTCTCGACTTCGGAGGACCCCGACGAAGGACGCGTGTTTTCGCATCTCAATGCAGCGCATGCAACGGATCTTGTTAGGAAGGCCGCCATTGAAACCTTCGATTCCCCCAAAGCCAGATCCAGTGGTTCATCCTGTGCGGAGCGAATCAACCGACATCCATTTTTCGAACGTCTGTCCTTGTTCATGATATACCTCAATGCGGTATGGATTGCGGTGGACATTGAGTTCAATGATTCTGCTGTAGTATTCGAAGCTGCTCCTATCTTCGTTGGCATGGAAGTTGTCTTCCTGATTTTCTTCAGCGGTGAAGTTGTGATTCGTTACATGAGCCATACCGGTTTCAAACATGCTCTCAGAGACTCTTGGCTGCTGTTCGACTTCCTTTTGGTCATTTTCATGGTGCTCGAGACGTGGCTCGTTCCTGCCATCGCTCTCCTGCTCGAGGGTACCGGTGGTGGATCATCGGCAGTCGGTCGAAGCGCTACAGTTCTTCGCGTCGCCCGTATTCTTCGAGTGCTGCGGACTGCAAGGATTGTACGAGTAGCCCGTTATATGCCAGAGCTGATGATACTGGTCAAGGGTCTTCTGGTTGCAGCACGGTCCGTTTTCTTTACTATGGTTTTGCTGCTCCTGATCACCTATGTGTTCAGCATCGCCTTTATGCAGCTGAGCCTCGCTGACGAACAATCGCAACTCACGGAGTTTTTTCCGACCATGCCACAATCGGTTCTAACCCTCATTGTCTACTGCATTATGCCGGACCAGAAGGAGTTCTTTGATAGGGTGTCAGGAAGTAATGGGGAGCGCTGGTTCATGGGTGCCTTAGTCATTGTTTATGTTCTGGTCGGCTCCTTGATCGTGATGAACATGCTGGTTGGAATATTGGTGGAAGCGGTGCAGACAGTCGCGACCATGGAGCACGAGCAGATCCATGTGGATTTCGCAAAGAAAGCATCTTGGACGAGCATATGGCCACAGCCTAAAGTCCTCGAAGTGGTTTGTGCTGTTGTTTGCCAAATTGGACTAGGGGTTGTGCGATTTCTAGTCATGATGCTCCCTGCGCTGCATATTCGGCTTCGAGCGCACTTTGCAGTCGAAAGCAGCTCGAGCCCTTGCGCAGAAGCTCTTAGGGTTGACAGCGTACATGCGCTCAATGGCAGCACTTGCACAAAGGTTTTGTGGGAGATGATGACGGAAGGCAATGCAGATCAGGATGGTGACAACCGAATCTCAGAAGACGAGTTCGTGAGGCCAGCTGAGTGAATTTCCTTTCTAAAAACAGATGGTGAGAATTTGTTTGAGTCTCTTCGTCACGGAACCGTTTTGCCGTCCGTTGCCGGAGGCTCCTGGAGCGGCCGGAAGCTTCCGTAGCACTCATGCGCTTGGGTGTCGACACCTATGCAGCGATGGAGTATGGACAGCCACTCTCCTCGCAGACTCGGCTTAGGTCATCTTCCTGCCCTGTCCGTGCTTTTCCTTCGATTACATGACTCCTAGACCCGCACGACGGTCAAGGAGCCCATGAACCCAAGAACTTCTCAGCCTCCATGCCACGTGCGACAGTTTTAGGGCACATAAAGAGCAGTCGGTAAGGTCGTTTGCCGTCGTATGAACTTTGTGAACTGAGGCTGCTTTTCGAGGACGGCCAACCATTAACTTTCGGAGAGTTCATGGATGCGATTCTCACTCTCCGTGGCTCCTCGCAGCTGTGATTGTGCAATTGCAGTGTCAGACATTGTTGTAGCGGTGTTTCCTTGTCGCAGCTTGGCAGAGTCTCGTTTGGCTGCGATTTGATGCTCTGCCCCATGTGCTTCGAACAATCCGCCGCGTTGGCCTTGTCTGGAATTGCGCATATGCGTGCGGACTTTGGTCGAACAGTGAACACCGCTCTGATTGCGTGCTTGCGCGTTCAGGCTCCAATCAGACCACTGTGAAAGACGTCGTGAACCTGCGGAAATTCACGGCCGACGAGTTCTCGACCCTGCACGCGGTTCTCAACGACCTTTGCCATTTCTTAGCAGGCATTACACAGTAGTTGTGAGGAGCCGGGCATTGCAGCAGTGTTTCGCACGGCTGTGGGAATTCTTTCCCCTCGCCCTGTCAGGTCGTGGTATGACAACAGGCTTTGCACGACGGTTGTCCACTCACTCCAGGTCGAGGGTGAAACAGTTTGATGAAGTGTGAAGAAGAAAGTTATTCGAGTGCAAGGAAGCTACCTGCGAATTTGTTATATGTCCTTGTTGATCCGATGGATATGTCCCATCTGGGAGATGGACTCGGCTCTGATGACATCGGTTGAAGCTTTTCCCAGCGATTGCAGCTGTTCTGTCCTGACGAACAGCTTCAAGTAGCTGTACTCTAGTGCGAGCGCTTTCACTCAAAGAGTGAAAACCGCCATCCTTCAACTTGAAACTCCTTAACTGAACATTTGAGCGGGAGATTCCCGACATCAAACTGACAGTCCTGGCCAATCACGTGGACGTGTGCGACATCTGTGTGCGACATCTCTCCGTCTGCCTTAGGCACTACGACATTGCATGAGAGGTGGCTCGTGTCCGTGGCCCTAAAATGTTCTTAGATACCTGTATGATTTCTACTTCGGAGCAAGCAGATCTTCAATTTGCCAAAGCCTCCTCGGTTTCACCCTAGTATTTTGCGGAGGACTGCTGCTTAGCTGGTATATATACATTTACATTGCATGCCAAATCATCAGACTGCAAAGCAGCAAACGAGACATCGGAGAAGAAGGTTGGGATCCCAAAAAATGTTTGTAACGCTTACACTGCTTACACCTCTGCCGGGCGCAGCAACATGGACGTGTCATGCGAACGTAGCGGTCACTGCCTCAGATTTCGAAGTGCCTTTCTGGTGGCAGAGCCCTGGGTGGTGCTCTAACGCTGAGTCATATTGAATTCACACTATCTTATCAGTCTCAATAGATTAGATTATCAGTAAATACTGATATAGGTTCCGGATCATTGATTTGATTTCTAGGCAGCATAGATGAATCGGGATAACGAAATCAGCAAAGATTTGATTAATATTTTGGGGTGCGGGGTAGGGTATATACGAACTATCAGAAGTTGCAATATATAAATGGTATCAGTGGTCTTGTATCTGGGGAAACCGTGGATGTCTTGAATGATATTGGAAGGATTTCTATGG